AGACCCACAAACTCACAGACCCGGGTAAGTGTCACTGACCCACAGACCCGGGTGAGAGTGGCACAGACTTGGGCAACCCATAGACCTGGATGAATGTGGCACAGACCCACAAACTCACAGACCCACAGACCAGGATGAGCGTGGCACAGACCCACAAACTCACAGACCCACAGACCAGGATGAGCGTGGCACAGACCCACAAACTCACAGACCCACAGACCAGGATGAGCGTGGCACAGACCCACAAACTCACAGACCCACAGACCAGGATGAGCGTGGCACAGACCCACAAACTCACAGACCCACAGACCAGGATGAGCGTGGCACAGACCCACAAACTCACAGACCCACAGACCAGGATGAGAGTGGCACAGACCCACAAACTCACAGACCCACAGACCAGGATGAGAGTGGCACAGACCCACAAACTCACAGACCCACAGACCAGGATGAGCGTGGCACAGACCCACAAACTCACAGACCCACAGACCAGGATGAGCGTGGCACAGACCCACAAACTCACAGACCCACAGACCAGGATGAGAGTGGCACAGACCCACAAACTCACAGACCCACAGACCAGGATGAGAGTGGCACAGACCCACAAACTCACAGACCCACAGACTCGGGCGACACATAGACCAGGTTGAGTGTGGCATAAACCCATAGCTCTTTGAGATTTACATGTGACCAGGCCAAGTTACGAGTCAGATCTGTTTAGAGGCGCCCACAGTCAGAATAAGAATGCGTGTTCTGTAATGTCATACTGTGGAACATTCTAGGCAAAGTGACAACATCTCCACGGCGACAGATCCTCCTTCAGTAAATCTTTAAACCCCGCCCCCCGCTCTCTCCTCAGCGCTCTGTTGGTCAACCGTCAGGAGAGTCGTCCCATGGAGTACGTGGCGCGTCAGGTTTTACGGGCGCTTTCTCCGGTGCTTCCGTCCATGTCCATCCCCATCCAGGCCGTCGCCGCGGCGATGGTCTCCAACGTACTGCTCACGTCCGAACAAAAGACGGAAATACTGGAAAACAAAGCCATCGCCGCCTACGGAAAACGGAAGGACAAGTGAACAGGTGAGGTGCAGGTGAGAGGGGGAGGAGCCTAATGAACAGGTGAGATGCAGGTGAGAGGGGGAGGAGCCTAATGAACAGGTGAGGTGCAGGTGAGAGGGGGAGGAGCCTAATGAGCAGGTGAGAGGGGGAGGAGCCTAAAGAACAGGTGAGACGCAGGTGAGAGGGGGAGGAGCCTAATGAACAGGTGAGGTGCAGGTGAGAGGGGGAGGAGCCTAATGAACAGGTGAGACGCAGGTGAGAGGGGGAGGAGCCTAATGAACAGGTGAGACGCAGGTGAGAGGGGGAGGAGTCTAATGAACAGGTGAGACGCAGGTGAGAGGGGGAGGAGCCTAAAGAACAGGTGAGACGCAGGTGAGAGGGGGAGGAGCCTAATGAACAGGTGAGACGCAGGTGAGAGGGGGAGGGGCCTAATGAACAGGTGAGACGCAGGTGAGAGGGGGAGGAGCCTAATGAACAGGTGAGACACAGGTGAGAGGGGGAGGAGCCTAATGAGTGTACACAGGCGAGAGGGGGAGGAGCCTAATGAACAGGTGAGACACAGGTGAGAAGGGGGGAGGAGCCAAATGAACAGGTGAGATGCAGGTGAGAGGGGGAGGAGCCTAATGAACAGGTGAGATGCAGGTGAGAGGGGGAGGAGCCTAATGAACAGGTGAGACGCAGGTGAGAGGGGGAGGAGCCTAATGAACAGGTGAGACGCAGGTGAGGGGGAGGAGCCTAATGAACAGGTGAGAGGGGGAGGAGCCTAATGAACAGTTGAGGGGCAGGTGAGAGGGGGAGGAGCCTAATGAACAGGTGAGACGCAGGTGAGACGCAGGTGAGGTAAAAGTGCCAAATGAAGTGAAACTTGAGTAAAATCATGTTATAGTTGTTTTAAATGGTCTGTGTGTAAGAGTTATATATTTTCTTTCATAAACGTGACTCTGTGTCCTCAGATACGACGTAAACAAATCCAACAATTAAATAAATAAAGTGCAACAGAATTTAATTTTGGATTTTCCACAGAATCACGTTTTGTCAAATAATCGACTCAACTAAACGAGAGAGTCATGTGACGCTCATTCTGCTTTCTGATTGGAGAATCGTCCGGAACCAAAACACCAAATTAGAACAGAAATAAACGACGTCATGTCCAGTGTTTCTGTGATGAAGAATTAATGAGCTTCAGAACAATTTCAGTAAAAGTTATCGCAGGTTTCAAAGGACGTCACAGATTTCTATCGGTCGATATTTAAAACAGATAAAATGAATATTGTTCAAACAAACTGCAGATGTTTGTTTCAGTCCAGCGGCTTTGGTTTAGTCAATAATAGAAATGATCAGGTTTAATATTTGGGAATTTACCTTTGCCATATTTCTTGGAAAATACATATACATCTCATGTAAAATGAACTTTTCAGAGTTTCTACCTTCTCAGAGTGATGTGTGGCCTTGGATTTGTCGCCCAAGTGCTTTTTAGATTGATTCTGTGTTGTTTTTTTAATAAATTGCAGCGTATTTGTGCCTCCCTCCCACGTGTCAACGAACTAAAGCTGCTACGACGACACCGTGGCAGATTCACCTGTGACGCGTTTGACGGAGCAGAAAACACTTCACACAGTTATTTTGTATGAGATGGACCTTTAAAGGAAAATCTGTCTCTTGCCTCCGTCTGAGAGTTTGACATCACCACATTCTAGAACCTGAAAACCCCCGATATCAGAATCAGAATTTAGTTTACGTTCAGATGCACCTGAAGTTTCCCAAATCCGATTTTTTGTCTCTATGTTCCTGTATCTGATCTTTTCATGTCTGAACCACACAGATGTGATGTTTTCACATGTGACCAGGACACTTGGATCTGTGCTCCTGAAACTGATCCATATCTGATCTTTAACAGGTGACTTGAGTGTGAACAGTCAGGTCACATTCATCCACCTACACGTCATCAACAAGACACAAACGTCACTATTCTGCACTGAAGTAGAGAAAACTGTTCATGATCCATGTGACTGAAGTGAAGCACATCTCCACTCACCACAAAACACCACCACCAAAAACCTGCTCCTTCTCCTTCTCAATCTCCTCCTTAAAACAAGTCAGTTGTTCATGTTGTGGCTCCGGTACGAGAGGAACTTTAAAATCTCCAGGTGCTCGATGCTGCGTCCATGTTTGTTCAACTTGTGTAAACACAGAGACGCTCGCTGCGGTTGACGTCGTCGTGTCTCCAGTGTCACATGTGGGACACTTTTGGACCGTTTAATGTTCACACTGGAGTCACACACAAGTCACATTTAACTGGAAATGTGAACGAGCTCGAAAAAACATCAGATTTCACAAAACAAATCTGAATTGAGCTTTAAACCTGCAGACTGAACGGAGACTAAATTTGTCATTTCAGTATAAAAAAAATGCACAGAAACGAAACCCTGCACTCAGGTCCAGGTCAACAGCAGCACAGATAAGAATAAGAATAAATAGTTCAAATATTGTATGTCAAATACAGTTTTTAAAAAACAGCCCTCACCCGCCCCGGTTTTCTAAAGCGTGTTCCAAGTCAGTGCTGTTTTGTAAGGAGCATTAGTGTCTAGGGCTGGTATCATGAAGGAGCTGCCGATACGATACACACCTCGATACACAGGCTACGATACGATACACACCTCGATACACAAGCCACGATACGATACGATACACACCTCGATACACAAGCCACGATACGATACACACCTCGATACACACAAGCCACGATACGATACACGATACACACCTCGATACACACAGGCACACGATACGATACACACCTCGATACACAGGCCACGATACGATACACACCTCGATACACAGGCCACGATACGATACACACCTCGATACACAGGCTACGATACGATACACACCTCGATACACAGGCCATGATATCGATACTGTATCATCACATTAAACGATACGATATATCGATATTCCGATATTTTTGCACAGCCCTAGTGTCTGGGCTACAGGACAGAACTGCTTCGTCTCACGGCATCAGGATGTGATTGGATCTGAACATCGCCTCAGTTCCTCCGACTCTTGCGTCTTTTGTACCGACTTCCTGTTCATTTTAGACTTGATTTTAAGATTTTAGGTTTGTTTTTAAAGCTTTGAATGGACCGACCCTGGAGACTCTCCTGGACACACGACATTTACAGAGTTGGGAAGGTTACTTTTAAAATGTAATCCCCTACAGATTACAGATTACACACCCCTAAATGTTGTTTGTAACATAATCCGTTAAATTACTTAAAGTGAGTAAAGTAATCTGAGTACTTTGGATTACTTGATGTTGTCGTGTTTTTTAAAACGACATGAAGCAAACTCATCCTGAAAGAGAAAAGATTTTTATATGAGACACTGATGCTTCAATTATGTTCAACTGCTGTTAGTGTCATAATGTTTAGTCCTGGTTTAGTCCTGGTTTAGTCCTGGTTTAGTCCTGGTTTAGTCCTGGTTTAGTCCTGGTTTAGTCCTGGTTTAGTCCTGGTTTAGTCCTGGTTTAGTCCTGGTTTAGACCTGGTTTAGTCCTGGTTTAGTCCTGGGTTTCCTGGTTTAGTCCTAGTTTAGACCTGGTTTAGTCCTGGTTTTAGTCTTGGTTTACCTGGTTTAGTCCTGGTTTTAGTCTTGGTTTAGTCCTGGTTTAGTCCTGGTTTTAGTCTTGGTTTAGTCCTGGTTTAGTCCTGGTTTAGTCCTGGTTTTAGTCTTGGTTTAGTTGGTTTAGTCCTGGTTTAGTCCTGTTTAGTTTTTAGTCTTGGTTTAGTCCTGGTTTAGACCTGGTTTAGTCCTTGGTTTAGTCCTGGTTTTAGTCTTGGTTTAGTCCTGGTTTAGACCTGGTTTTAGTCTTGGTTTAGTCCTGGTTTAGTCCTGGTTTTAGTCTTGGTTTAGTCTTGGTTTAGTCTTGGTTTAGACCTGGTTTAGTCTTGGTTTAGTCCTGGTTTTAGTCTTGGTTTAGTCCTGGTTTTAGTCTTGGTTTAGACCTGGTTTTAGTCCTGGTTTAGTTCTCTGTGTAATCCATTTATTTCAACAAAGTAACTGTAATCCAATTCCCACTCACTGAAACAGTAACTGTAACTGAATACAGTTACTCATCATTTGTACTCTGATTACTCCAGTACTTGTAATCTGTTACTCCCGACACTGGAGATTTGAAACTGTCTGTATGTGTTATTATTTGTGCTGTTGATCTGGGTTTAGTTTCTGTGAATTTTTATTCTGAAATGACAAATAAATTCAGATTCTGAGATTTACATTCCCACATATCACATGATCACTTCGACCAATCAGAGCGGAGCCGGAGCGAATGATTCAAACATGTTTTTTAAGACGACTGGAGGATTTTGAGTAGAGAAAAAGTTTATGATCTAAAAACAGGGGAAAAATCAACACAAAATCCAACATTTTTGAAAGCAGTTTGTGTTAGTTTGTGCTTCATGAGAAAAATCTAATCTTCTCTTTTCCGCTGCAGCTCCAGAGTCACGACGACAACTGGAGACAAACAACAACAGCTCCATGATTGTCTCTCACCAACTTCATTTAACTTAACGTCTGTACCAGCAGTGCCTCTAGTGGATCCTGTGTGTTTGTGCGTCTGTGTTTGTGGATTTCTTAAAAAAATGTCTCTAAAAAACGTCATGGAGGAAATCAGTGAATTAGTGAAACTGTTAGAGATGAAACAATAACTGAAATATCATGATGTCGTATTGTGAAAAGTCTAATAATAAAATCATGAACTGTCACAAGTTTCTTTGTTTAAATTCAGGTTTTACAGAAGTAACAGTTTATAAACATCAGAACTACATTTCCCATGATTCATTTCAGCGCAGAAAACATGAAGAAACATGTTTTTACTTGAATTCTTCAGATTATGACGGAAATAATTCACAACAAAATCTTGTCAAGGGATTTTAAAAGTAAAAAAGTGTCTCATTGTTAGGTTTATCTAAACATTATAAACAAGAAGAAAGACAAGAGATTAATTCAGTTTTACTCATGAGGAGAACGGGCAGTGGGCATCAAAACCAACAGTCTCCACACGTTCTGATGACTCAAGGCTGTTCTCCTCTTTTTATTTCATTAGGAGGCCCTAGTTACAGAATGATAATTCTCAAGGGGAAACAGCAAAGACATAATAAGAAACTGGTGCAGCTAAGCATAGTACAAACACATAAAACATGATTAACAATCAGGAGGCGCCTTAGGTCAGACACCATCATAACTCTTCATGTGTGACAGTGGGAGTTGGCTTCATGTGAGGAATCATCTGGAGGTTCACTAGAGCGACAGGACACTGCACACAGTTGTCAAACACACAGAGGTTATTTATATTCATACAAGTGATTGGTACATTATAAATCAAAGAATTGTAGTACATAAATGGTTAACTCATAGGCCTAGAATATCACACAAGTATTTAGCAAATATGGGATAATAAAATTATTCTGACACTCATCTACATTTATATCAACATTTGGAAAATAAATCACAATAAATATCGAACTGTGAGATGCACATCAAGATGATATCGAACAGAGAGATTTGGATATCGGTACATCTCTAGTAATTGTTGATCCACAAATTTTACAAACAGAATTTTTCAGTTTTACAGTTTTAGTTTTTTTTGCAAATATGAAAGATATTTACAAATCCACATCTATTTGTAAAAAACAAAATACTCTGAGGTCCGAGGTAGAGACGAGCATTCGATGAAATTTTCTTAATCGATTGTTGGGAGAATTAACGATTGATTATCGATTAATCATGAACATTTTTATATTAAAATGATCATCATTATTATTACTATCTGCACTAATCTGCATCAATAAATTCAACTTTACGACATATAAACATAACGACTCTAGATCCACATCAGCTGTTTGACATTATAATGTGTTTAATTCAGTTTTGTTCAAATCTCACAGAAACAAAACTTAAAACCACATCACTAATTTACATAAACTAAGTGAAGATAAAACTCCAGCTCTTGTGTCGCTGATGTGGTTCAACTTGTGTTGGATTAAAAGACATGACTCAGGTGAATACAGGTCAGTGTGACCAGATTTGTGTTTGTCAAAACCAGGACAGCGTACGGGGGGAGGGGGGCGGGGCCTCGTCATCCACATTGAGCGACTCTCACCTGGAAAAACTTTTTCCCACTGGACACAGAAACATATGTGCTGCTTTATCCACTGTGCACATGGACTCACACTTGTCCCAACGCAACGGAAAGTGTGGAATTTCTTCTACAAATCCTGGTTAAATCCACATTTGTGCTTCGGTCAAGTTTGTGAGATTTAAAAAAATAAACTCTTAAATAAATATAGTTCATTTAACCAGAGACTTTTCTTTTCTCAGATGGACAGAAAAGACGACGCTCGACCTGATGATCTGCTCGTGCCTCAGACGCTCAAGACTTTCTGTTGGTTTATGGTGTTGAATTATTTAAAAAATCAATATTTCTGTGGTTTGATTTCTGTGTTTGTTTGTGTGTTTGTCAAAGGGAAATTTGGGGGAAACAGGGATTAAGTTTGTTTTAAATGAATGTTTCATGTTGTTGTAAAAGTTTTAAATGATCACGTTGTTTGTTGGTTATTTAAGTGCACAAACTCTGGCAAAATAAATGTTCAAATCAGAAAGAAAACAATAATTAAAAATCTATTAAGCGATTCGCATTTAGATTTCGACTTTGGGCGTAAACAAACTTTATTGATCCACAAGGGAAATGATTTAGACACATCACAACAAAATATATATAAAAGAATAATAAACGTGTAAATAAGGAGCAAAAGACTTTTATCAGTAAGACATACATGATATAAATGTATGTGCAGTAAGTAAAACACAAATCTCGTAAAATAAATACAGAAATAAAATAAATCCGAGTTTTTTTTTGGTTTTTTTAAAGAGTTGAATCTGGAGTATCTTGAATTTTTTAAATATATATAAATAATGTAATATTTTGATCATCTCTTCCTCTGTTTAAGTTTACGCTCCAATATAAATGTATTTATTATTCTAATTTATAGAATATTTCGTTTGTTTCGTGGTCAAAGTCGTGTTGTGTTTAATGAGCGGGTGGCGCCCTCTAGCGGCATCAGCGGACGGTAACAGAAGGCCCCGCCCTCCTCGCCTCTGATTGGCTATTTCATGTGGACACGAAAACGTCATCACGTCCAGCGCAGTTACAGGTAAACATCTGCGCGTGCGTGAAAATCGGGCGAAAGATTTAAGCAAAGTTTTGAATCGTTCAGTGAAATAAAGTGTTGGGAAGTTGACTTTTAAAATGTAATCCCCTACAGATTACAGATTACACACACCAAAATGTAGTTTGTAACAGAATCCATTAAATTACTTAAAGTGAGTAATGTAATCTGATTACTTTGGATTACTTGATTTGCTGTAGAGAAACAAAGACGAGGAAATCTTCACATCAGAAGTTTTATCTGATAAAAGAAAATAAAAAGTCCAAACTTTACTGAACCAAATTAAAAATATTATTGATAGAAAACGAAGAAACACGTCCACACAGCAGGATTTAGTCCTGGTTTAGTCCTGGTTTAGTCCTGGTTTAGTCCTGGTTTAGTCCTGGTTTAGACCTGGTTTAGTCCTGGTTTAGTCCTGGTTTAGACCTGGTTTAGTCCTGGTTTAGACCTGGTTTAGTCCTGGTTTAGTTCTCTGTTTAATCCATTTATTTCAACAAAGTAACTGTAATCCAATTCCCACTCACTGAAACAGTAACTGTAACTGAATACAGTTACTCATCATTTGTACTCTGATTACTCTGGTACATGTAATCTGTTACTCCCGACACTGAATAAGTCACGGTTTTTTCGTTAATGCTGTGAGTTTAATGATGTTTTTGTTTTTATGGTCAACTTCAACAATCAATCAATCAAACTTTATTTATAAAGCACTTTTCATACAAAAATGTAACACAAAGTGTTTTACACAGATTAAAAACAATCCCACATTTCCACCCACCACCACCACCAGGAACCACCACAGAGAGACGAACCACCACAGAGAGACGTCCACCAGGAACCACCACAGAGAACCACCACCAGGAACCACCACAGAGAGACGTCCACCAGAGAACCACCACAGGAACCACCACAGAGAGACGTCCACCAGGAACCACCACAGAGAGAGGAACCACCACAGAGAGACGTCCACCTGAACCACCACAGGACCACCACCAGGAACCACCACAGAGAGACGTCACCACCTCCACCAGGAACCACCACAGAGAGACGACCACCACCACCAGGAACCACCACAGAGAGACGTCCACCTCCACCAGGAACCACCACAGAGAGACGTCCACCACCAGGAACCACCACAGAGAGACGTCCACCACCACCAGGAACCACCCAGGAGAGAGACGTCCACCAGAGAGACAGGAACCACCACAGAGAGACGTCCACCACCACAGAGAGACGTCCACCACCACCAGGAACCACCACAGAGAGACGTCCACCACCACCAGGAACCACCACAGAGAGACGTCCACCACCACCACCAGGAACCACCACAGAGAGACGTCCACCACCACCAGGAACCACCACAGAGAGACGTCCACCTCCACCAGGAACCACCAACAAAACATGTTATGATCATCTAAAAAATAATTTAGTTGAATAAAAACAAGTTTTTCTAAAATTTTGCTTAAAAATGGTAGGTTAGACACTGGTCGGTAGTTGTTAAAATCATTAAAATCTAAATTGCTCTTCTTCAGCAGGGGCCTCACCACTGCAGTTTTGAAGGCAGAGGGAAAGACCCCCGTCTGAAGAGAGCAATTCATCATGGTTAAAAGCTCATCCCTAAAAGATCCATAAAATGACTTAAAAAATGGGGTAGGAATCGGATCTAAAAGACACGTGGAGGAAATCACTGAGGAGAAAACTTTGTCCAACATCTCAGCATTAACCAGGACAAAAGTGTCCAGTGTTTCCTCTGGTCCAGACAAACACTCAGATGAACTAAAAACAGAGCTTTGACAAGATCAAATATCACATCTGATAGTGTTTATCTTACCCATGAAGTGGTCTGCAAACTGCTCACAGAGAGTCAGTGGGCGTTAAGTAAAACGTGCTAAAATCAGGGTTTAAAATGTTGTCGATGGTTGAAAAAAGAACTTTTGGATTATTTTTGTTATTGGTTATTAATGTAGAAAAGTAATGTCACTGTCTGATATTCACGTTATTCAGAGAGCGAATGTTCCCCGAGCTAAAACAACAAAAACACCTGGAGAAAAACTTTAAAACATGTGAAAAGAAACTCGAATAAAACATGTTTTAATAAATCCACATGTGAAACATGTTTAAAACAAACATGTTTGTAGAGGCGCAGGTCGGTTGAGCTAAATATCGACAAAGTTTAAATTCATCAGCAAAATAAATAAATAACTCTATAAAATAAATAACTCTAGAAATAACCTTTATGTACCTGCACAGAATATAGAAAACAGTTGCTGTGAATAGATTTGTAGTGAACATTCATCATGTGTCATTTATTCTCCTCGAGCAAAACTCAGAAAAACACGGTCAAATCAAATATAGTGAAAATAAACTTCAGCAGATCGTGGCCAAACAAACATAAAATACGTCCAGTCCAACACACAACTGTCAGATGAGCAATAAAACAGCTACACATGAATGAATGAATCATTTTGTCCCCACAATTTCACAACCACATGACCTCGTCCCGAGTTCTCCACAAGCAAACTTTATTTATAAAGCACTTTTCATACAAAACCAACCAACCACCAACGAGGAGGAGTTTAGTAAGTGCAGGTGCGGCGGACACCAGGAGATGGCGCTGGTTCACAGTTTAGCAGGATTTAACAGCGCTCATATGAACTGTGTCACACGTGCTCGTCATCTACGACACTTTCTCTTTTCTCCGCCGCGTTTAAAGCTCAAAGTTGATCTCATCTCTGCAGCTCGTGGATCATAAAATCTTCCATCTTTTCGGCGGTACTGAGTAATAAGATAAGTAATAATAAAACTGACCTTAAAGCAACAAGACAAACAAACTTAATAAAACAAACTAAATACAGCACCACCTTCAAAATAAAACACACAAATATTTTACAGCCATTAAGACATGAACTCATAAAAAAAAAAAAATAAATAAATAAAATAAAAAAAAAAAGATCAGTCGTCTCCCCTGACTTTAATTACTTAATTTGTTTACATTTTGTATAATATAATTTCTTGTTTTTAAGTTCTTTCTTCTTCTTCTTCTTTGTTTATTATGTAATGATATTTTGTCTCGATTAATATTATGATTGTTCCGTCTGTTAAAAACAAAATAATAATAATTTATTAAAAAAAAAACAAAAAACCAAACAATAAACGTAACAGTCACGTGACCCGGAAGTCCCAGCGCTGCCAAGGCAACAAGATGGCGGAGCCCGCGGATCCACGTGAATTTGGTAAATAAAACAAAAAACTCACGAAATACGAACTTTTCTACAAAATAACAACGGTTTAAGTGAACAAACGTTTGATTAGTCATATTTTAGGCGTTTATATGAATGTTTATCTCTCTTCTGTGTAAATAAGATCAGATTTGACCGGTGTTTTGGGATTGAAACAAAAACGGGATTTTATTTACACTTTTGTGAAATTATTAAATCTGCTTCATTTGTTTTTTTTAAATGTTTGTGCAGAAAAGCAAATATCTCTGCGTTTGGTTGTTCTAAATAGACCTGGTTTGGTCCTGTTTTAGACCTGTTTTAGACCTGTTTTAGTCCTGGTCCAGTCCTGGTCCAGTCCTGGTCTAGTCCTGGTCTAGTCCTGGTCTAGTCCTGGTCTAGTCCTGGTTCAGTCCTGGTTCAGTCCTGGTCTAGTCCTGGTTTAGACCTGTTTTAGACCTGTTTTAGTCCTGGTTCAGTCCTGGTTCAGTCCTGGTCTAGTACTGGTCTAGTCCTGGTTCAGTCCTGGTTCAGTCCTGGTTCAGTCCTGGTCTAGTCCTGGTTTAGACCTGGTTTAGACCTGGTTTAGTCCTGGTCTAGTCCTGGTCTAGTCCTGGTCTAGTCCTGGTCTAGTCCTGGTCTAGTCCTGGTCTAGTCCTGGTCTAGTCCTGGTCTAGTCCTGGTCTAGTCCTGGTCTAGTCCTGGTTCAGTCCTGGTCTAGTCAGTCCTGGTCTAGTCCTGGTCTAGTCCTGGTCTAGTCCTGGTTCAGTTCTGTGTGTTTGGTTCAGAGGAGGTTCCTGGTCTGTCTGATGATGAAGAGGAGGATGAGGAGGACCAGTGGATGGAGGAAGAGGAGGATCAGTCTGTTCTGTGTCTCTTCTGTGATCGGTGAGAAACTCAAACCCAAAACTTTCAAAATGATTAAAATAAAACAAACACAACAATCATTAAACCCAGAATCACGGGAGCTGAATTTTCTCTTCAGTTTCACTTAAACGTTTCT